GCGTGTGTTGCCGCACGCACAGAAGAGAGACGCGGGCGCCGCACCCGCCGCGCAGGCCACGGCCCCCCGCGCGCGTGCGCGTGGCAGCCGCCGCCCTCGCGGAGCGGCAGGAAGGCGGGGGCGAAAAATTGGGCCATCCCCCGGCCGAGCGCGTGGGAGCCCGGGGCGGGACGGACAGGCAGCGGCAGCAGCAACAATAACAACAGTAACGAAGCCAAAAAAAAAAAAAGAAAATAAACAAATAAATAAATAAATAAACAAAAAATAAAACCATGAGGTGGCAAACACACGAGGAAAAGGGGAGGAAACGCCGATAACAAACAAGACGATTACACGGCGCAGAAAAAAAAACACCTACACAAAATCCTCCCCACCCCACCCCACACGAAAAAAAAGGAAAAACACGAAAAAAAAATAGCAGGCCACAGTGCCGTGAAGACAACCACAGCTCTGAATGCTCGCGTCTCCTGCTTGGGTGTCCAACGGAAATGATAAAAAAGAACCTCATGCAGAGACCTACCTTTGGCACATCGAAACAGGCGTGATCGGCAGAAAAAGGGTCAAATTGGAATAACAAGAAAAATAGCTTTAGAAAAAAAAAAAAAGAAGAGTGTGGCGAGACTGCTTCGTTGCCGGCGACCCTCCACGCGCTGGCAGCAATGCAGATTGTTTTGGCCCCTTTCTTGCCTGCATGTTTGTTCACGACGCTCGCTTGCGATTATTAGACGCGCAACAACACCACACATACACGCATATGTAAGTGTGGATGCGGATGTGCATAGGTACAATTAGGCTATTAAAAGTTGTTCACACGAAAGACGTGAGTTTAAAGAGTGTGTACATGTATCGAGGCTTTTCTTCTTGTTGTTTTTGTTCTTTGTTCTTTTTGTTTTTTTCCTCTTTCTTCGGCCCAAAGCAGCAAGGCACAAACACACACACACACCCACACACCAACAAACAACCCACCAATCAGAGGAAGGCAAACGAATCAAGGCAGACAAGACAAAACAAAACAAGTAGTCGTAGATGGACACGGAAAAACGCACAAATAACCCAATAAAAGCGGAGCGGGATAAAAACAAGCAAACAAAAAAAACACACACACAAACTGCGACAAAACCAAGGAAGGATCCAGGAGTACAACAGCACCGTCTCACTCTTCCTCTCCAGTAAAGCCAGAAAGACGGTCAATCCAAAGAAAGGAGCGCCCGCGAAAAACACAAATCAGAAACAAAAATCATAGAAACAGAAGACGGGGCGTTGAACGAAAAAAAAAATCTTCAATTGAACCAGGAACAGAAGCCCCACACTAATCACGAGCGGGGAATGCACAAATCCCCCAACACCACACTCCCCTCCTTTTCTTCCCTTTGCATCGTTCCCTTCCCCCCTCCCTTTTTTTTTGTGGGAAAACTATGCACTCTGGCTCATGTCCGTTGCGTGTTTGTTGCCGTAGCGTCGCTGAAGCACATCGTCGGAGGACCGTCGTCCCGTGCTGAATTCCTCAAAGTAACCGCGAACTAACTCCACAGCACGCCACAGCGACGTGACACCGGACTGCGCTCCATCCTGCTCAGATCGGCACCGCATCTTCGCCGCGTAGCGTGTCAACAGCTCGTAGCTTTCACAGTCCAGCCTCGCACTTCCCCCAGCATTGCTGTGGACGCGGGAGGACTCAGGAAGCATTTCGGCCAGAGGCATGGGAAGTGCCCACGGCGTTTTTTCCGCGGCGACGGCAAGAATGGCAAGGCCCATGACGCTGCAGCGAAATTCCTGTGCTCTGGTGTTACGGAGCATCAGATCAGTGATAAAGCGAGCCAGACGACACAAGTGGCCCCAACGCAGATGCTCCTCTACCTTCGCAGCATCCTCGTCACACCATCGGCAACTATCATATATGCTTTTAGTATTATTTAAAATATTATTCATGCCTCCCCCGTCACCTCCAGCTGCGTTAAGGCTCCACTGCTCCTTCTCACGTAAACGGCACCGTTTCTCCGCATTTTGCTGGGCAGCGGGGCCACCGCACAACTGCAGCAAGAGCTCCACCATCTCAAGCGAGGTGACAGGATGCAAACAAAAGTTCAATGTTTTCAGCACGTGCACCTCGTAGCGACGAAACTCCGCCGCGGTGACGGGGTGCTCCGGTCGCAAACAGCGTAAAAAGGCTCGGATGGGGGGAAAGAAGCGATCCACCTGCTTACAACTCACCATGGAGCAAGCAAGAAGAATTCCACTAAAAAAAGTGGCGTCCCTGCCCACCGTCGGAGACATGCAAACAAATGCGTCAAGGTAAGCTGCGGCGACGTGGACAGCCTCGCGAGAGCCCCTCAATGAGGTGATGACGCAATCAATAGAGTCTACAACGTCAAACCGATTCACCTTATCCCACTCACTCGTCCAGTTTGCCCAAGAGCTCTCGACGCTGTTGCGGTATCGCTCCTCCTGAGCAAACAAATGGAGAAAAATCTCCCATCGCAACGAGAAATCGGAATTGACCTCTGCCCCTTGAGGTATGGGGAAGGATGCGGCGGAATTGCTATTTCCCTCCGCAGCCGCCACAGGAGTGGCGTTGGGAATGCTGTCTGGGACAGAAGCAGTAGCAGAGAAAATCCCCATGCAGCTGTGAGGTGAGACAAGAGAGCGTTCTTCCGTAAGGGGCTGGTTGCTGCGTGCGCTGGAGGAAATCCCGCCACTTTCCACGCTCTGAGGTCGAGCCGCGGTCACGCAACTACAGCCCGCCTTTTCGAGCTGCTTCATAGTGCCACCGATGAGGGGAATGAAGCTGTGAAAAAAAGCCTTGCACAACTCACCCCCCTGCAGCTGCGTGATGCGATGGGTGACAGCCTTTTCCTCCGGTAGTACGCCACCCCCGGTCGTGATGACGCGAACAACAGCGGAACCCACCAGTTGGTTGTACTCCGGCTTCCCGGATGGATTCAGCTGCGAGGGACGCCGGGCGAGGATTCGATAGGACTCGACAGAGTACACCGTGCTCACCAACTCAAAGCGTGACACCTGTACGGCACAATCTCCGTCGCCAATGGCGCAGTCGGCACGGCCCTCCTCAAAGCTGGGGGGACAAGCGTGTCGTGTCGCGGTCTCTCCACTCCTGCCCGGAAGCCGAAGCAAGCTGCGACTCACCTCCACGAGACGGTAAGGGTGAATAACAGCGGGCCAAGCGTCGCCCTCGTAAATAAAAATTATCGGCTCAGTCCACGCAAAATCCAAAAGAAAGTTGAAGCAAGGAAGTTGCACCTCGCGGGGGATCCTTGAGTCGTCCAGTACTTCCCTAAGTAGGCTCAAGATGGCCCCGATGTTATTGTTTAGTACTACTTCTCCGTTGCACACTTCTCGTGCAAGCGCCCGTCCACTTTCCTCTTGCATCTTTATTCTCTTACTTTACAACAAATGCAAAGGAAACAGGTCAAGTGATACGGCGCATCCACACGTGTGCACGTGCGCGTCTCAAGAATTAGGTAGATGTATGTCAAGGCAATCTCACTGCCTGTGCGGCGACCAACACACGCGCAGACCGCTACCTCACCAGCCAAGGCAACAAGCGGCTTCAACGGAAAATTGAAACAGGAGATTTGGGGGGAAAGCAAGAGCAACAACGACAGCAACACAAAAAAAAAACAGGGAATGTTGGACCGCGCGGCACAAAGGCTAATGAAGTGACGGTGTAGAGAGACCAAGATGGGCGGTGCGAGCACCTAACCCGCCCTGGGAAAGCGAGGGAGGGTCAAGGCGAAGTAACACCACCTGAGAAACATCCCCTCCCGCACAACGGATGCGGCCGCCCAATAGTGTATCACTTCCGCAGCAGCCGATCAGAAATGGGAGGATCTTTTTGTGGCGCGGGACCCCAAACGCTATTCCCGTTTCATGCTGCTGGGGCTCCAACGGCGCCAATAGTATAGGCGAAGGTGGCCCTAAAATTTGAGCCACGGATACTCGTTCAGCAAGGCTCTCTCTTCATCTGGCCCAAATGTTTCCGTAACCCCCATCAACTCCAGAATGCCCTGCTCATCCACGTCCATCAGCAAGTTGGACAGCACCGCCGCACACAGATCACGCAAGAATGACATTTCCAACATTGTTGCCGCCTCCAAAACTCTCAAAAGGTGTTGAACGTTGCATTGACCCACCGACTGCGAGGATCCCGCTGCCGCAGCAGCTGCGTCCACCCACTGCCCTTCCCTGCTGAGTTCCCACAAATTCTGAGGCCACATAAGCAGTCGCTGAACAACAAAGCAATGCTCCCAGTCGCTGAGGTGATAAAGCTCCTGCACGTGTACCGGTCTTGAAAGCGTGCTCGGTCTGACTATCTGAAGATTGCCCACACTAGACTTATCCTCCCCCGGTGAAGTTGAAGTCGTTGACCCGTAGAAATGTTCCAAATACAATGCAACCGTTTCAAATACAGCAGAGTCCACCGACGGCAGCGGCAACTCCACCTGTTGTGAGGCCACTTCTTCTTCTTCCTTCACGCTCTCCAAGAGCTCTGACAGGGTCAGCGAACCCCCACGCAGCACAGCAGACGGGCATCGAAAGAGTGCGCCGTCCCCAAGACGCAGGTTCACATGAAGAGGCAGCCGCGTTTGCTGCTTCCCCTCTACAAGACTTGTTACGCTACGTAACTCCAAGCGCGCCGTCAGTGCCGATGAGGCCATTCATACACACCCTTCGTGCAATGACTAGCAGCACGCCAACAGAGGAAAAGCAAACAAATACAAAAAAAAAGGAAGGAAAAGCTGGAGAAGTGGCGGAAGCGGCAAGGTAATAATGGAACGCAGCGCAAGAACAAGATGAGCACATAGCCCACGCCTGTCTAACAATTGGCTCAACTTCTCTTCTGATATGGGGGAAATATATAGTTGAGGAAAGAGGGGGTGTGGTGGGAGTTGATGGTGCGATGGTCAAGAGAACTGGCCTTTAACGGGTACCTCATTGAGAAACCAGAAGAAGTAGTACAGACCGAGGCCACCGGGCACTCCTCCTACCCACTAGCGAGGCGTGTTGGCGCACGCATGTGTGCGAGTGGTGAGAAAGAGACGCATCGAACGAAGGAGCATACGAGGAAAAACGAAAAGACACAGCAAAATAAAAACACAACAAAAGCACAACAAGCACCACCACCACATTTTTTTACTCTTCGCATTGGCTTGCAAAAGACAACCGATTAGTTTATTTTTATTTTGTTGCTATTATTTCATTCTTCCTTTTTCTTTTCTTTGCACCTCGCAATGGAAAGAGCTCGGGGAAAAGTAAATACACCTTCCTTGACGTGCACACACACACACACGCATCCGTTCATCATTTGCCATTTTTTCCATTCCAAATTTTGTGCGTGTGCGCCTGCACGGGTACGGTCTACCCATGAGCTCCCCATTTCCCCACACTACTATTACTATTAGCGTTGTTATTAGTACCATTAGTAATTATTCCCGCATTCTCTCTCTCTCGCCGCTTCTTCTTTTTTTTTTGTGGGGGAGGATTCATCTCTCCCTCTCTTTGTCATTCCGGCTCCATTTTTTTTTTAATGCTCTCTTTTTGGCGTGACTATGCCGTTCATTCCTTTTGTCTTGGCCCCCCACCCCCTCGCCTCCCCCGTTTCCAGATTGCGGTGAGGACTCCTCAGCGACGTACGCACACACCGAACTCGCCCCACATTTTGGCGTCTTCGGCACCACCGCACAAAAGCGCAGGTGAGGAGGATTGCGCGGTGTGTCTTGCGGAGGACGTTCCTCGCCTTCCCCAAGCACAAGCACAGGCATCAGCGCAAACAGACGTTTATTAGATTACATCATAGGTATGAGGAGGTCTCTTTGTTTTCTATCTGTCTTGCCGTCTTTCCCACTGCTCACAACTTGGCACAGAAACCCGATCCCACATTCCCCCTCTTCTTCATTCTTCTTCGCCGTCGTCCTCAGCCCGCCTTATCTCTTGTCCCCGCTTCATCTACCATTCCTCCCCTCATCCCATTTGTTTCATTGACTGGTGGTTCTTCAAATATTTACTGCCTTTTGTCGTTCTTGCTCTTCATATTCGTTGACATTTGCAGTTATCCGCAGGGGCACGGTTTAAGCAAAGGCCGCGACGTTTTCGCACAGTTGCAAAGCACCAGCAAAAGAAACAATACGCCGCGATGGTTACTTTGACAAGACACCATGTTGCAAGCACGTCCCATTTACCAAGAGACGGACAAAAACACACAAAAAGGCACAACGCCGACACAATGATACCAGGAGGTGAAGATAGGCAAACCCAGAAAAGCAAAAAAAAAAAAGGAAGAAAGGAAGGAAGGGATGAATGAATGGAGGGAAGGAGCAAAGGCGCATTTATCTGCCATTCCCCCTTCCCTGCCTCCCTTTCCCAGGAACATCTCTATAACACGCGCAAAGAGACAACTCCTCTCCCCCTTGGCTGTACAAAATGCACCAGGCTCATGGTGAGTGGAAAACCCCTTCCTCCGCTGTCACAGCGGTCCCAACTCCCTCGCTTGTTACTCCTGGGCTGCCCTCGCTAAAATTCCTTTTTTTTTTTTGTAGGGGGGGGGGGGGGTTCCTCAGCTCCTCCTCGTCGGCGGCATTGGCTTTCATATCATCTTTACTTTTAATTTGATCCCTCAAGTTGATTTTTTTTTGTTTTAACGTATTGTTTCTCGCCCCCGTGCGCAATCTCTCCCGAGCCCCTGGAACGCAGCGGCGGCGTATACAACTGACACGCCCTCGCCGCCGCCTTCCAGCGAGTCGGAGAGAGAAAGAGGGATGAAGAGAAAAAAAACAAACAAACAAACAAAGGACATCCTCCCTCTTTCGGCCTGTCCCCACCTACACACGTCTCCTGCAAATATATACACAATCAAAACGTCTCCACGCCAAAGAAATTATTATCAGGGACAGAACAGCGAAGAATCAAACAAAAAAGAAAACAAAAACAAAAAAAAAAACAGAGACGGAAATATCACTCTTGGCCACGCTGCACTTTTTTTTTTTATTTCGTCTATTTCCTCCTTGTCCCTCCATTGTTCACTTGCTTTTGGCGTCAGTTTCTCCCGTTTTCCACTTCTCTCGTGGAAGTCGCAAACGGATGGCTGTTGTTACGCGGCGAGGAGGTTTTGTACTGCCTCCTATATCAACGTTCGTTGCGGACAGCATGAATTAGAGGTGCAGAAGATGGGCAAGACGACACGACATGGGGTGAGCAGAGCATTCACTCCAACTCTCCAACAACTACACGGGAAGGAATTGAATTAAAACAGGAATGGGGCAAAGGACGCACATTGTAGCCAAGCCCTCGGGAAACTGAGACACCTACACCCACACCTAAACACAGATACACCAAACCAGAGGCACAAGAAAAAGCAGAAAAAAAAATGCACTACAGGTGCTCCCATCTCTCACCCATTTTGGGATTGCTGTTTGTGTTCGTACGACCCCGTTTTTTTTTTGTTGCCTTTTGTTCCTCTTAGCGGCTGCAAAACCACAAACCATGAAGCTTGCTATATCCCATCTTCAATGCATATACACAAATAAGCATACATACATACATATATATATATATGCCTGCGTGTATACATGCTTTTCTCCTCCAACTCATTTGGGCGAGCGCCATCTATTACTATTTGCTTCTCAGTTGCTCATGCTGCGTTACTTCTACGCATTCTGCAGGATCGGTCTTTTTTTTAGTTCTCTTTTCCTGTTTTTCCCCGCCACTGCATGTTTGCTGTTGCTGTTGCCTCCGTCGCGGGGGGTATTCTTACTTGCTACATTCTTGTCGTCCGCTCGACCGTCTAACTCGTTTCTGCAGTTTATGTGCCACCGTCCCCCCACCCCTCCCCAAGGGAAAACTCGCGTGTGCCCCCATTGCTGGAACTCCTCTTTTTTTTTGTTTCTTTTCTTCTGTTTTTCCACCGTCCTAGCCCATCATGGAGAAAAGCGTGTCAGCTCAGCATACCACGCAATGCGGGGTATGATATCTGTTAGTTGTTGTTGTTTCTTGTCGTTTTTGCTCTCGTTTACACTTTTCTTCTTTTGTTTTTGTTTGAGAAATTTTCCTCGTTTTTTATTCTTCTTCTTTTTTCCCTCCCTCCCCTTTTTCATTCCCTCGTGGGTTTCGG